GGGGTCGCACAGGACCTTGGATTCCATTTTTGGACCACAACAATCGGGATCAGCGCTGACATTCTTTTTGGTCAACGCTTCGACGAGGATATGACGCAGCTCGTTGCAGATGTGAACATCAAAGCATTCCGCCAGCGTAGCCTTGCGACGCCTGTACACGACTACATACCTCTCATCGCAGCTGGTGAACGTTTCATTCTCGCGGCAGCATCCCCCATCCGCTTCCTCCTCCGCCCTCTTGGTCTGTCGTCCGGGCTTGACTCTATCTATGAGGCAGAGGCGTACGCCAAGGAGCTCCGCGACGCCGAGGTTGGATACTGCAAGATACTTCTCAAGGATCTCCATGAACGGCTGGACGCCGGTGACCCTACACCTTCACAAATGGGCGACATTTTCCGCACCATCAACGACGGTACTCTGACGCGAAACGAGGAACTTCGCCTCGCGACGACGCTCACTGGTTCGGGTATGAGTGGGGGTACGGGTCTGACTTGGCTCGCCGCTTTGCTCGCCGCCCACCCGGAAATGCAAGAAAAGGCATACCGCACCATCGAGGAAGTCTATGGCGGTGAGACACCTGACCCTTTAGACACGGACCGCATCGAATACATCAAGGCGCTCGGAGTAGAAGCAGGTCGGTACTTCGCGTCTATTCGACTCGGATTCCCGCGCGAGACACATGAGGACGTTGTAGTCGATGGTGTGCTTATTCCCAAGGGAGTGCTCGTTGTGTACAACTCGTATCAGATCAACCGCGACCCACAGCGGTATGATTTCCCGGAGGAGTTCATACCGGAGCGCTGGATGGATGGGCACTACGGCCGAACTGACGTTAAACAGCCCAAGGTTGGCGTACCTCACTTGAACCACGGGGCCGGTAGGTTGCCTCTCTAGCCAGACGGTTCGACACAGAATAATCTCATCTGTTTCAGGCAGGAGGGTTTGTATGGGGGTCCCCAGTACGCTTTTAGGCTCCCCAAAATTAATTGACTGACCGACCATCGCCGCAGACGTGAACAAAATGTTCTACGGCAACCTCGTTCTCTTGCTCCATTTCTTCAAGCTCGAACGCGGCCCCCTCGGCGACGCGGCCCGCGCAGCGGTGTTCCCCAAGTTGCGTGCCGTCGGTGAGGCGAGCCTCGAGGTCCATCCGATAGACGACCAGGTCTCTGTATGCGACCCTCAGGCCCTGCCACTGGCTGCGGGCATAAAGCTCACGGTGCGCGATCCCGACGCGCTTGCGCGCTGGCTAGCCGAAGGGCATCGTGAGCTCGACCAGTGGGACCGCCCCAACGAGGCAGATGTGTCATTGCCCTCCGAAGTCGTGGATCCCGGAATCCGCGGTCATTACTGTGATGTGCCGAACACACAGAAAAGGAGATGAAAGTTGTCTAGCTTCAGAACTCGCGGCTTTGTAAAGTTATGTTGAACATGTGTACCTCTCGTCATATCCAAGTTTTGCGTTGTCAACACTGCACTCGAGCGTGGTCATGATCCGAAGTTAGAGGAGAAAATGTTTGCGTCATTCCAAAGATCTTAAGAAGTTCAAGTGAATCAGAGCGTGGGTCACTTGTCTCGGCTTCCAAGTTGAGTAATTTCCCTAAACTGTCTTGATCGACCAAGAAGTCTTGGTTGTAATTAGCTCTCTACTTACCAATTTATACCCTTTCGTCGTCGAAATCTCCGTGGTCAGAGAGAATTGATCGCCAGGACCGCCAGGCGAACTGATCGGTCTTGTTCTGCAATTACACTTTTGTCTAACGCCACATTAGGTGGGGGCCCCTACAGATATACATACGCTGTCGCCGAGAGAACGCACTGGACGCACCTGAACAAGCGCATTTAGATTTATACGGTCCGATCAAATGCGCCGGAGACGACGAAAGCCCAGTTTACGTGCGTTGGGGTTTTGTTCCATGCGGCAGAACAATCCCGTGCCGCCACAAAATTTAACCCACCTGTTTCCCGACGAAACAATGCTTCGATGCAACGTGGGTTACGCCGACGCACTCGAATTGGCCAGATTTAAATGTCGAGGGATCCGAAAATATGAATAAGATGGAGAGGAGGGAAACTCTATACGAGATCATGATGATTCAGGCAGCTATTTTTCAAGTCAAAACTGGTCGAATTCCGGTCCATGGAAGTAATGAGCGCTGTGTCATACTCGACTCCCACATCATGAGCGCATGAGCTCCAGGGTGTGAGAGATGAGTTTATAGAATTTTGGGGAAGTAATGGCGGGCGCCCGAACCATCAAGTTCCGGGAAGTAGCGATAGAAGCTAAAATTGTCAAGTTGAACTGTAAAACCCCAAAAGGAAACTGATCATACCACGGCAAATGCCGATGTCGTTGCGTGTCGTCTAGACTCTTTGCGCTTCCTTCTAAGTAGCCCGAACCCCGCCCGAACCCCACTCGAAAGCCCGAAAATGCGTGGCCACAACAGAAGACCTCGGAATTTTTATTTTGCCAATCTCCTTCTCGTGACATGGGATCCGAATTTGCTTTCAAACCTTCGGCCATGAAGTTCGGTTCAAGTTCAGATATGTTTATCCCTAATAAAGACCAGGAACCGTCAGAACTCAGCTAAACACTTAGTGGGAAAAGTTAGGAGGCACTTATAATCACCCGGCCAGGAGTGCCGGGAGTGAGAACAACTTTCCTAACGGGTTCTGACGCTTGACGAATTTCTTTTGAGCTTATCGAACTAGATCATTGGAGGCTTGTCTCATGGTTGGGGAACCTTTGATGCGAAATTAAATTATGAGTACGTGTCAAGGAGTGTGTTCCAGGTGCGTGTTCCAAAAATAACTTGAATTTCATCCTACATGGCTCGGGCTCGAGTCGAACGAGCAATTCTTTTAGTTACAACACTATGGCTAAACTGAATGCAGGGATGGCCCCGCCACCGTGCCGTTCTTTGTCATTCAGCTGTTGAATGTATGCATGAATAATTTCTCCTTTGAATTTGGAAGCAACAGAGGGGGAAAAAGGGCTGGCGACTACATATTTCGTCCACACTACCGAGCCGTTCTCGATAGTATTCCACTTTCTGTGAGCAGATTCAATATTGGTTGCATTTGGAAGGAACAAGAAAATAAAAATCAACCGAGAAGATCATCATGGCTCGGGCTCGAATCGAACGAGCTGCTGCTGAGTTACAAATCCCAGACACTAGATGCAGGGATGGTCCACACCGAGCTTTTCTTGATAGCATTTTACTCTTAAATATGCACCACAGTACATAGTCAGTTCTGGGCTTGCATTTGATGGGGGAAAAAATTAAACGACCAAGGACAGATGGCTTGGGCTCCCGCTGGATACTTCCAATATCAATCTAGCTGGATTAAGAAGGGAAAAAAAGAGTTCAGAAATTATGGCCCAGGCTCGAGTTGAACGAGCAACTCCTGCAGCTACAGCTCGTCGATCACTATGGCCTTACTGAATGCAGGGATGGTCTGCACCACCGAGCCCTTGTCGATACTGTTAAATATGCACCAGATAGTCAGTTCACCGGTTTGCATCTGATGGCGAAAGAAAAAGATCCAAACTTGAGTTGAACGAGCGTCTCCCGCTGAACTTCGCCATATCGCTATTAGATGCAGGGATGGTCCGCACCACCGAGCCGTCCTTGATAGCATTCCGCTGTTGAATCTACACATAAGTAATTGTACTTCGATTTTGCTTCGATTCGGAAAAAAAAAAGTACTGCGGCAATGAAAATGGCTCGGACTCGAGCTGAACGAACCTCTCCTGCTGACTTACGAGTACCAGAGTGCCACTAGATGCAGGGATGATCCAACCACCGAGCTGTTCTTGATAGCATCCCACTGTTGAATATAGGCACGAGTCAACTCGTGGTTTATATCGAGAGCGAGAGGGGGGGAAAAGCATAGAATAACGGGCCATGGCTCGGGCTCGACTAGAACGAGCGGCTCCTACCGTCATATTGCTCCATCTCCTACTGAATGCAGGAATGGTTCCCCCCACCGAGCCGTTCTCGATATCATTCCACTGTTGAATACGCATCAGTATTTGTAGTTAGATTCGGGACCAAAATAAAAATAAAAAATCAACGGAACACATCGTCATGGGTCGAGCTCGAGTCGAACGAGCTGCCCTGTTCTACCATCATTAATATTGTGGCTTTAGTGAATGCAGGGATGTCCCATACCACCGAGCTGTTCTTCATAGCATTCACTGTCGAACATATCAATATGGTAGGATTCAGAAAGAAAAAAGATGCATATGTCAGAAGTTATAGCTCGGGCTCGAGTTGAACGAGCGTCTCCCATTATTACCCAATGTTGCACCGAATATTGAATGCAGGGATGGTCCACACCACCGAGGCGTTCTGCATAGTACTCCGTTGTTGAATATAGGCATGAGGCAGCTCGTGGTTTACATTGAGACCGGGATGGGTCAAAAATGAGACAGCCTGAGGGGTAATGCTCTGGCTCGAATCAAACGAGCGACTCCTGCTGTTATGTAACCTACAGCCTCAGTACCCATTGAACGCAAGGATGATCCACACCACCGAGCCGTTCTTGATAGCAGTCCACTGTGGAATATGTGCATGAGTAATTGACTTGCACCTCGATTCAGAGAGCGGGAGATGTAAAAATTAGCAACCAGGCCATGGCTCGGGCTCGAATCGAACAAGCTGCTCCTACTGATTTTGACGATATCTGCAATGAATGCAGGGATGGTCCATACCACCGAGCCGTTCTTGCTAACATTCCACTGTTGAATATAGGCATGAGTCAACTCGTGGTTTACATAGAGAGCGAGAGGGCAAAAATCAAACATGCAAGGATAATGGGCATGGCTCGGGCTCCAGTTGAACGAGCGACCCGGCTAAGTATTTATGCCGATAGCCCATATTGAACTCAGGGATGGCCCACACCACCGAGCCGTTCTCGGAATATTCGACTGTTGAATTTACGCATCAGTATTTGTAGTTCGATTCGAGAGTAAAAAAAAAACAGACACAAAAATATGGCTCGGGCTCGAATCGAACGAGCGACTCCTGCTGCTACAATTTGAACATTATCACATCACTGAATGCAGGGATGGTCCACACAACCAAGCCATTCTTGATAGCATTCCACTCTTGAATATACGCATGAGTAATTGTGGTTCGATTCGGGAGCAGAGAACAAAAATTAATGCGAACGAAATGGCTCGGGCTCAAGTCGAACGAGCGACCCCTGCTGATACGTCCTTTATTACGTATTTAACGCAGGGATGGTCTACACGTTCTTGATAGCATTTCACTGTGGAATATATGCACCAGTGGTTTCTGCTTTTAACAGCCGTGCTCGATTCAAATCGAACGGGAGTAGATCTGCTGTTAATTTTAGATTCAGGATCAGAGTTCACCATAGTCACGAATGCAGGTGTGGTCCGGTACATGTGAGGAGCGCATTCTATCCGTGAGTAATTTCTCGTTCGAGAGCAAAAGCAAAAAGAAGACGAATTCCTCAATTCACATGGCCCTGACTCGAATCGAACGAGCTGCTCCCGTTACATTTTCGCAACTAGTCCACAGATAAATGCAAGGATGGTCCACCACGGAGCCTGTCTAACAGCAATCCACGGTCGAATATCCGAGTGAAATTGGGCGGATTCTGAAAAATAGTCAAAACAAGTACACGGTCGAGTAAGAACGCATGTGCGTGTTGGAAATTCGTCGAATGCAGTGAAAAGTTCCCTCACAGACACGTCTATCGATACGATTCGCGGTGGCAGTTACACCGCGGTCCCAAATTGTGGCGCAGGTGAGAGTTGAGACGAAGATCAGCCGAGCGAAGACCGAGTTTGATGGATTTAATTATTCAAATAATTACTAATATCACGGGCTTAGCCGAGGGATAACCTTTGCGCCTCGTGTTTCCCTACTGTTCCGCTCTACTCTTTAAAGGGCCTTCCAATGTCGCTGCAGGAGGCGACGCACGCACTGTCGCTGCAGGAAGCGACGCGCAACTCGACGTCGGCGTGGCAGCGGGACCTTGCGGCGTTGTTTCGGCATGCAAAAGAAAGGTTTCCGGACGTTGTTTGGGAGCTTACTAGCGAGGACGCCGGCGTCGAGGAGGTCTGGGGACATAAGGGTGTGCATTATAATACTTTATACTGCCTGTACTGACTTGTATTGACCTTGCTCAGCCATCGTATACGCCCGCGCGCCACCGTCGTTCCAGTCGCGGTACTTTTCATTCCGGCCGCAGGAAAACAGACACTCGCCGCTGGCGGCGTCGGCGTTGTCGCTGGATATACCCCGAGGCAGTCGCAGCCCGTCCCCTTCGCCGTTTCGCACTGCTTCACCCGCTCCATCTACTATCGGCGGTCTTACTCGTCTGACCACCAGCATCAATCCTGCCTTGTTCTCCAATGAGCTCGAGTATCTGTACACTGGCCAGGGCTTTGGCGAGGCTTTCGGGTTTCTGTTCGACGAGCAAGCAGGCGAAGAAAGCACTGTATACGATGCGGAGGACCTCCGGGTCGACAAGCTGCGCAAGGACCTGGTCTTTATGTGGCGCTCGCGGCTCTACTCGGACGTTCGTATTGCACTCACGAGCAATGGCCCGCCAGCCCCTGCCGACGACGACGACGATGCCCATGACCGCCAGATGCCCGTCTTCTCGTCCCACCGCTTTATTCTCGCGTCTCGCTGCTCTTACTTTCACACTGCTCTCGTTTCCTGGCCGTCCCCATCCAAGCCGCTCTCTTCTTCATTATCATCATCTGGGACCGACCCTTTAACTTTATCACTACCCTCCCCGCCGTTTACTCCTGCCTCGTTACACTTTACCCTTGGTTTCATCTACACCGGGACCCTCGTCTTCTCCCACCGCACCTACGACCTCACCACCGCCCTCGCCCTCCTCCTCTCCGCCAACTACCTCTCCCTCCCCACCCTCCACACCGAGGTCCAAGCCCGCGTCGTCTCCGAAATGGCCCATGGCCTCTTCCACGCCGCCCTCCCCTTCACCGCCTACGAGGCCCTCACCCACGGCGCCTGGCGCGCCGGCGGCTGCACCTGCCGCAAATGCGCCGCCCGCGTCCCCCGCATCCTCGAATTCGCCTTACGCCCCGACGTTCAAGACCAAGTCCTCGAGCGCGGCGCCCGCCGCGCGCTCGTCGGCCTCTTCGGCACGGGCTGGTGCACCCCCGAGTTCGCCGCGCTCCCCCCGAAGCTGCACTCGTCCGCCCTCAAAGGGCTGGCGAAGCGCAGCACGCCCGCAAACGCCCTCGCAATCCTCTGGGCCGCCGAGGGCGCGCGCGCGCGTCTCGCGCCGCTCGTCGATGCGTGGGCGGACACCGTGCGTCCGCTGATCGAGGCAGGGCGCGCGCAGGTCGACGCGGTGCTCGGCGCGCAGACGGCCGAGGTCCTCGCGGAGGCGGACTGGAACGCCATAATGCGCGCGGACGGCGTAAGATTCGAAGACGGCGAGCGCGTCGAGTGGGCGATGCGCAGCGTCGTGCGCGGTGTGGGCGAAACGAACGCGGGGAGGGTGTATCAGGTGTGTCTCCACATATTCCCTCCACGATGAGTTTATACTTAAAGACCCTGTGCAGGCCCTCGTCAACGTGCTGCTGCTCCCGCACCCTGAGCCGACGGAGGAGGGTTCGTTCCCCGCGCAGCCGCTCTTATCGCAAACAAGCCACGTTCGCGTGCAGGTCGAGCAGGCGAGGTGGGCGTCGACTTGTCTCTTTTCCTCCTGTTGCTCATGTCTTTTCCCAGAATGGACGTCCTCACGTGGATCAAGCGTGGCGGGCGCGGACGCGCAGACCGCGTCGCGCGCGAGGGTGGGCTCGACGGCGTGGAGGCTTGGGCTGTGCGCGAGATCAGCGACTGTGAGTTCTTTGTCTTCCTTCTCTGTTTCGTTCCTGTGTCGCCGATCCCGCGGGCAGCGATTATCATCTTTGGGCGGATCATGGACGTTGCTTTGCTTTGTACTTTGGATTGTTCGCCGTTTGGGCGTGCTTTCTGCTTCGTGCAGAGATGCGTCATGAAATCAACCCTGGGGTCGTTGGTGTCGCCTCGTCTTTGACGAGCGGCCTGTACGCTGATTTGCGACGGCGGACGTTGCCTCTGGGTTACACCTCGTTTACGCCTGAATACTGCTGCCTTTTTGTGCTTGCTTGCTATTGCGAGAGGCAGCCCGTCTTGTCGTAATCCACATCGTGTAACTTGCGGTGCTTCCCATACCACTACCGCGACGCAAGAGCGCTTCTTCTCTGTCTCTTCCCGTGCTCTTATACTAATCATCCCTCAGTCCTCGAGATCCCCGTTGATGACCTCCTCGCCGCCATCCCACCAACGCCTGGCCAGCACTCGCGCCAACCTACCTCGACCTCGCGCAAGTCCACGGCGCTCCTCAGCGCAAAGGACGCAGACCAACACAGTCTCAGCATCCACACGCAGCAAAGCAGCATGCGTGTGAGCGTGCTGAGCCGCAGCATCCCAACACCACGCGGCGCACGCAGCGTGCGCCAGCAAGAGGTCGCGGAGAAGGCCGTCGAAGAGTCAAGGGACGACGAGAAGGACGACGACGCTGAGGCGGGCGAGCGGCCAGACTCGAAACTCACTCCCGAACTCGGCGCGGGGCTCTTGCGCTCGCTCGAGGCCGGTTCGGCGGCCAGCACGCTCAAGGGCAAAGGCCGGGCGAACGGCAACGGAAGCGGCAGCGCGAACGACAGCGGCCCTCCCTCCCCAACAATCAACAAGCCCCCCGTCCCAACGCGCGCGCTGCCTGGCTCGCCGGCCTCGCCGAGCTCACCCTCTGGCACGACGACGCCCAAGTACGCGCGCTCGACGGTCAGCGTGAGCGTCTCACCTGCACCGCGGCCGCAGTCCGCGGCGTCGTCGCGCACAGGCACCACCACCACCAGCAAACACCCGTCACGCCCCGGCTCAGTCGCGAGCACGTCGACCGTGCGGACAACGCGCGGGCTGCGGCCGCCGCCGGTCAACGCCGCCGCCGCGGGCGGGCGGCGCGCGTCCGGGGCGAGCACATCTGCAAGCGCGAGCGTGTCCGAGTTCCGCACGGCGCTGAGCGGGACGGTCGCGTCGCGCTCGCGGCAGAGTTCCGTGTCGAGCGTCGCGAGCAAGTCTGGCATGAGCGTGCGGAGCCGCAAGACGAGCAATGCGTCGGACGTGTCGGTGCGCACGACAGGCACGGCGGGTGCTGGCGCGAGGCCGCCAGTGCCTGCGCTGGATCCTGGGGTGCGGAAGCGCGGGACGCCGAGCATACGGAGCGTGCGCAGCGTGGCGAGTGCGACGGGGAGCACGAGCACGATGGACACGGCAGCGAGCGCAGCAAGGAAGGCGACGCTCGCGGTTGGAAAGCGCCCCGAGACGAAGGTGATTACGCTCAAACATCGCGGGCGGGGCACGGCGGCCGCAAAAGACAAGGAGAAGGAGAAAGAGGTGGAAAAGCCGACGCCCGCAATAGAGGAGGAGAAGGAGAAGGAGCACCGCAAAACGGACAGCACGGCGTCGACCGCGAGCGCGTCGACCCTCCGCGTAAAACGCAAGGGCTCGGGCGACACGGTCTCTACCGTCACCACCAAAGCCGGCGCACCCGCCCCCACTGCCAGCACCAGCAAGCCTGCAGCCAAACCCAAAACGACGGTACCGCCAAAGCGTCCTGCCCCCGCGCCAGCGACGCCGGGCACGCTCAAGGACCTGCCGCTCTCGCCGCGCGGCGCGATGCTCGAGATCGGCATCCCATGCATCATCTCTTCGAAGCGCAAGCGCTTCAAGGCCTTTGCGCGCTACATCGGCGAGGTCGAGGGCGAGGCGGGGCCGTGGGTCGGTGTCGAGGTGCCGGCGGCCGCAGCCGACGGGATGGGCGCTGGCAGTGGCGGGAGGCAGTGGCACGACGGGTCGTGGGGCGGGATCCGCTACTTTGAGATTGGCGGCGCCGGGTCCGAGTGGGAGTATGGCGACGAGACGCGCGACCGTGCCGCAAGACGACGGCGGCTGGAGGGCAGCGGCACCAGTGGTTACGGCTTTGGCACGCAAAAGGGCGTCAAGCGCGAAGGCGAGTCGCTCGGTGGCGCGCGCGGTGCGAAGCGCATCCGCAG